CTCCTCTTCCTCTCCATACTCCTCCCACCTTAGCTCCTCCTACATATCACCCTTCCTGTTAAAATAAAAGAAAAAAACTTTCTCTCAAAATACAATTAGAGCATAACTATCCCAATTTGTACCAGTAAGGTACAAGATAGACCTAATACCCAGTCCACCATTTTGTTGACTAAACAGAACCTCTGTCATCTCTCCTAACTAAAAGACTTAGTTCTGAACCTGGCTTTTTTCCTGGATTTAGAATGAATGTCAGTTGAAAACCATCCTTTCAAATCTTTTCTCTCAAAGTAAATTGCTGGGATTGGCTATGAGAATATAAGTCTTCAACCCCGTCAGAAATCTGAAATTATGATTCAGTTAATCTGAATTAACTGAAATTATGGGAAGCACAAAGCATAGCTTCTAAAACTTAGCCAATTTATAGAGACCGCTGAACACCTGGACAGTCCCTATACTACAAAACATTGTAGCATCCGATCTTCAGCCTTCTGGCCCAAGATCATCTGACAGGCCTAGTGATGCAGAATTTTTAAGGGCTGATTACTCTGTCTTGGCAGATGTAATCAGTTGACTATTCCGGAAGTGTGTCCTTTTCAGGACAGTAATTTGTCTGTAGATGAAAAGAGGCAATTCTTGCCTAGTGGCTGTCTCACCACAACTGGAGTAACTCCAAAGATGCTCAATTTCTTCTTAGAATCCAAGACAGGAAGCTGTCAGGAGCAGATAGGTCTCTAATCAAAATGAACCTTAATGCAAAAATGTTTGTAACGTCAATTCTGCGGACTTCTGACGTTTTGAAAACCAACTATCCATGTAAAGCAATCTGGACTGTTGTCTGTTAACTCCTCTTAGCTATTTCTAAATAAAATATAGAAAACACCCTAACAATTAAACTCAGAGACATGAATTTGCTATAGGCCCTTAACTCAAAGGCTAACCATCACAAATCAGTTAAAAAAGTTAAAGAAGGACTGGGCCTAAGCCTTGTATTCCTAAATGTGTTATATAGGCACAATGCCTATGAGAGTAACAGTATTAATCTCACTTTTATATCAATAAGAAACTCGTACCAATGAAAACCTTAAATTTGAAATCAAAGTAAATTTCCTACCATTTAAGAAATTATAACTTCAGCTTAATAACAATTGTACAGATTTCTACCAATAGGTTATGGCTATGCAATAAATCCTAGCTATTCTTCCCTGTTCCAACAAAACCACTACTTTTCCCTAGAAAGACAACCCAATATTAACCACCTCAGTCCCCAAGCCCAGGGAATAGGGGCGCCGACTCTTCATTAACTTCTTCAAGCTGATTACGGGCGGGGAGGGTAAATTGATAAGCCTCTGATGTCTGTGTCTTCACTGCATCCAGCTGAAATTCCGGGATATCAGAGGTCAAGCAGGTCTGCTCAGCTTGCTTGATGAGTAGATACACCAAGGCTGTGTATTCTTCAATGTACAATTCTCAAAACAAATTTTAACATCAAGATAATTTCTTGTTTAAATTCTGGAATCTAGTCTTCTGGCAGCCTGCCTCAGTCATGTCCAATCCATATAATTCTGGGAGGTAGAAATACCTCAATTGTCTCTTCTGACAACACACAGACAGAACATTTTTCCTTAAACAGCATATCCTTGGGACAGTAACCAGAAAAACCTTTATCTTGACCTTTCCCAGAGGAAAAATATAACCACAAAACTGAAAATCACACCCATCTTGAAAATAAAATCAATTTAATAACTAAAATACTGTATGTGCCTGGTCTTTAGGCCTTCCCTATTTTGCCAAGCAGGAAATGAACCCAGATTTCCCTTGGGGCCCACGTTAGACAGAACCCAAGTCTCCTGTGAAGCAATATAACTTTATATCATCTGAATATACCTGATTTACACAATCTTTCTGTTCGGCCCTCTGCCTAGAACAGTTTTTTATTTATGCCATCTATCTGTTTGGCTCTGTATTCCACAGCAGCTTCTACTTACACACTGTACTCTTTAAACTAGAGCCAGTGACAATTTTCAATATCTAAGTTCCAAACCATGGGCGATAATCCCCATGCGATTCAGGCAAATCTGTTTATAATTCTTTCCTAAAAGCAAATAATACCTATATTTTAACTTTATACTTAAATCAGTAGCTGCTCCACAATGGAGGCTTATTTATTTGGCTCTCTTGGCTCAGAGCAGCCTACAATTTCTCTCAGCAGAGGACCTGCCTGCCAGCATTTTCTTTGAACACAGTTCCTGCGCTGGAGTCACTTGGCTCCTCTCAGCACCACTCACTCACTTTTTTTAAAAAAAAAAAAAATACAACTTTTACTCTCAGGTTAATAGACTTAAATTTCTAGTGAATTTGTGCCTGAAATTGGTGTGCCACTTTGTTGAAGTAATTATTTAAAAAATGGCCACTGGTCATGCCGACTATCTAAGCTGTGGCTCTGCCTAGCTCAGCTGCCATGTTTCTCGGCCGGAGGCCACATGCTTGACGCAGCTAGAAACGGCCAGCTAGAAACACCAGCCCTGCCACTCACGAGAAGTCAGCGTGGGAGATGGCTCTTCCAATCTTCCACACTGTCTGTGCAAGGCTGGGCATTGCCCAGACCATCCTGCCATCCACATGGGCCCAGTAGGAAAATGAGACTCTAATGCTTAAATTATCCAAAAGCTTATAATTTTGTTAATGGTCAATAACAAGGTGCCCATACAATCAGAGGTGTAATCCAACACCCAACCTAGATATACCAACTACCTTTGACTGCCAGAGACACGCAAACATCCTCCTCCATGTCCCTCCCACCCCAGCTCCTCCTCTTCCTTCCGGTTGACAACTCTTTATTGGGAGTTAGCTCTTAATGGGAAGGCCCCGATGGCTTTAGCCGTGCTTCAGTTTTAATGCTGATTATATATGCCTACCACAGGAAAGGAAAGCCCTGGGTTGCTGGGTGACGTTAGATATAGTTAAGAACTAGGGCTACAAACCTCTAAAAAGCTACAAAACCTCTAAAAATAAACTCCCATCAATTCAGAAAAATACTGATGACTGTCCTATCACCTTTTAATTCACATAGCTCCCAATTCATTATTTTTGAAACCTTGCTTTCAGCTTAATAGCGTTTAGGTCACTTTTGAAGTGACTGCTGCAGTACCAAGGTCCCCCGCTGCCTGTTCATTACTAAATGCTTCAGCTGCACTGTGGGATAAATAGCTTTCTTGTAGACTGACTTGTTAATTTCACAATTGCAAGTGGCATGCTTAAAAATAGCTTGTGTTGAAATGCTGAAAACTATCTGAAGTCTGTCTTTGCCAGCAACTATGTCTATGGTAGTTTACCTCTCTGGACCTATGTTAACCTTTCTGTAAGATGAAGGGGTTGACAGTATCTTCTGGAACCTCTGAAATATCACTAAAGTTCTGTGGGTTTTATCCATATCATTGGGGGGGGGCACTGGATAAAGGGTGAAGTTGTAGGTGAACATCCGTCAGTCATATGTATGTGAGCTGAGAGATACATGCAGCAAGGGTTTTCTGTATCTCCCTGTTTTTGATAATGCTATATTTGCAATTTGAGGATTCTCTGGTATTTCAGGGGTAAAGGTGAACTTGAAAGCCAATGTTGAAAATGATGGTCTTTTATAAGTCAGTCTTTGGATAAATTATCAGAATTATTTCACATAACCTCATTTGTTGTAATTAAATGTGCCATGTTTTTTCCTCAGTTTCACCGCTTGATATTTATATAACCAAAGTAAATCTTAGCACACATCCCTGAAACATCTTCAATAACTTTTT